TAAAAAGTCTGCTAATAACGGAGCGCAATTTGTACCCATGGGAATTCCAATAGATTGTTAGAATACCTGGTCTCTAAAAACCACAGAGCAATTGTCAATCAGAAACTCAAGTATCTCCTTGATGTCAACTTCAGAGTACTTATGTGTGCAATCAGAATCTGTTTTAACAAAATAATTTTGTAAATGACCAATGAAGAGGTAAGTAAATTTACGAGTTCCATTTTAATTGAAGAAGCAGCTGCTGTCAATGATATCACAAAGCCAGGATTTTAATTATTGAGGGGAATTGTTGTGTATAAAATTGAAAAATCGTAAGTTTTTAAGCTGTTGAAGTTAGTTCTAGCTCCCGTCATAAGGACATAGGTCAATACGTGACCTAATCACACGGCTCAATAATATCTACCAGTACAAAAATTTCAAATGACTTGCTCTGTTTGCTTTACATGTGCAGAAATGAATAAAATACGCAAGTAGGATAATAAATATATTTTACAATGTGAACAGGTATTTAATACAGTTTTTAACCGAACAAATAAACTTGTATTCATAGAGATTATAGGGCAATTGTCTCCATTCATCGGATCCATTCGTCCCTTCCCCGGAGACCGAAATTCCTCCAACTTTTTACCATCAATTTTCGGATGTGCTTGTTGTGCCTTATGAGCGTTTATTTTCAATTTGCACGAATTTGAATATTCCTATACAACTATTAGTGATCACATGTAGCCTTTCATAAAAGATTCCCTTCGAAATAGAATCATTTACCTGGTGAATTCGAAGCATGAAATCCTTTGAAGCCGATTTACACCGTGCGTATTTTTGTATCTCTTAGGTATTAGGCCACACCAATTTAATTTCATGTTCGTTGGACATTTGATTAAAAAAAATTACAAGCGGGCAAATGGTTAAATAATAACATTATTATTTTTTTCTGGCCAATTTTTTAAAGCGGTGCGTGAAAAAATTTGAGCGGACAATGTATATTTTTTTCTGATTTACAGAGTAAGCAGATTAAAAATACAATAAATGCAGCAGAAATGAAACAGAAAATAGCACAGAATTCCTATGATGCGGGAAATTTAAATTAATATTATTTGTATCGTTTTGTTTAAATACGAGCGCGGGTCCGACGAACAATTTTTTTTAATGGTGTGGCCTTATACATGTATATATAAAATATTCATATTTGTCATTCTCTTCTGATTTCTACATTGCTTTCAAAATGCTTTTAAATATAAGTACAATAAAAATTTCGATATATGCCATCAAAAGACTGCCCATTAGGGTTATTAATGAATTTCTTTTAGGGTCAGTTCAAATTTAGACATTCATACATATTTAGCCATTCCAGATTTTTATTTTGGGCACCAGTAGCTACTGGAGGTCTTAGCTGTCTTGCAATATTGTTTCTAAATTAGGACAGTAGGAGAATATATCATCGGTTCAATACCAAAGACAGACATGGTATCGTTTTTGAAATTGCACTCTGAAAGAAATACATAGTGATTTTAACTAGTGTGCCTCGTAAAGCGTTTCTCGTGATTAGTAATCTTTCTGTTTACTGGAGCCCTAAGATAGTGAGAAGTGGAACGGGGGTTGTATAGATACTTAAATACCTAGTGAAAGTTACTTATCAATTCTAGATTTACTAATCTTATCTAGTAAATCTAATTAATACCTAATAAAACTACTTTTAAGGTAGTGATTGTATGGACAGTAAATTTACTAGTCTTCTTTGTACTTCAACTAGTTTTTTTTTCAGTGCATGGTGTGGGAAGGCATTTAAAAAACTGCAAAAAAGTGGGGAAATTTCTCCAAACTCGGGGGTGGGGGTGGGGTAAACATCAGGTTATGTTGAGAAAAAAGTTGGATGAGGGATGTCATCATCCCTACCCCACCCAAACCTGATGCTACAAGCCTGATTGTCATGGTTTTACTTTTTAAAATTATGTGAGCTGTCGTAGTGACTCTCTTTCATAAATTAGAATTATTGTGAGCAAGCTCATAAAATGATACCGACCCTCCTGCTATTGCATTAAATGTTTTTTTATTAAAATAAAGGACCAAATATTAATTTGAAACCTTTTGATATTTTGCTAGTGCAGATATATATACCAAAAATGACTATGACAAATACTTAAGTCATAAGTAGTAAAACCGTTGTGTTGAGCACAAACTCATATAGTACACTTTTACTGCAGTGACCTTGAAAAAGCTATGTCCTTGAGTCAAGGTCAAACATATTCCAATGAACTTTGGTCAAGGTCATGACAAATCTACAGCTCAAAAATAATCCTCGAGATAAAAATTCAAGTCCTTTCATTAGAATGTTACAGAATGGGCAAAGATTGCACTTTTCCTCTACCAATGACCTTTGAACTTGTTCAAATGACCTTGAGTCAAGTTTTTGACGCATCTCTCCATCACAAGCAATCTTAATATCAAGTATGAAATTTCAGTGGCACTTCATTGAAATGTTATGGACAAGTCAAAATTTTACTTACATATGGATCGGTGAACAAGGTGATTCCTACCCCCCCCCCCTTTTCCAAGTTTCGTTTGTGAGAAATATAAAATTCCTTTCGAAATTGAAAGTGCATTTATTCATCAACAATAGTAAAATTATGAGTATGCATTGATCAGAACCAATATGACCAATATAATGGACACTGTACATGTATTCAAATTACCCTCACCCCTTCAAAAAAGCTTATAAATACCAGATTATCACACATTTTAACCATTTGTAACTTTTTTCTACTAAAGTTGCCTGCAAATTTTGATATGACATATAGATAACCCGTAGCAAGATCACGCCATTCATTTTTCCAGCAGTGGTTGTAGATTTTGTGTATATAGTGATAAACATATGTAACTTTTTTTAAAATTAATAAGCATTGACGCCATGTTCTTTTCCCGTTGTCATGACAACAATATCACCACAGAAATTTTGCTTTTCTTGTTTTGGGAGAATAAAGTAATTCCTTCTTTTAACAAAAAAAGTAACCAAAATACCTTATCTTATCATGTTCAGAAAACATATTCATAGAAAAATGTTTAAAAATCATTGATTTTCATAAGGATTTATGAACCTGTTGCTAAGGAAATGAATTTCCTTGGATACCAGTCCCTTCATACGTTCAAAAAAAAATTGTAATTGTGTTTTAGCATTAGGTAGGACAAAATCTTTTATATACCAAAAGCTTTTGAAAAAATAAAATTTTGACTTTCCATTCAATGCTCGATGCTTGCTGATTTTGACTCTTAAATATTACGAACGGTTCGTGCAATACTGTAGAATCTTTTATATGCAAGTTAATCATTCGCGAAATTAGTTACTCTTATCTATTTTTATGGTGCTAAATCAATAATAAATCGTTGGACCAGAACGTTCAATTATTCCTGAGGTTTGACGTGAAAGCGCCATTTTGCCATAATAAGCACTCGCGAAAAATAAGGAATTTACGGTAATGTATAGTCGAAAAAAAATATTTAACTCTCTGTTTCAAATGTACGAGGGCCGTTCAAAAATTACGCGGACTGTGCTATTATATACTCTTACGGACGTCATATAGTTATGAATCTTCACAGAAATATGTATCGTAAAGATTCCAATAAATTTTGGCCCAAATTTCTGTATTTTAAAGAAATTCTACTAAAATTATCGGTATATTGAAATCGCTGATGGAGAGGTACGGAGCACGACAAAAAAATTGAAGCAAAAGCATGCGGAATCCAAAATTTAACTCATTCATTTTCTATAATTCGCGATATTTTTCGACAATTTCCTCAGATGTGTCTTTAAATTGTTCTATTATTATGCATTTAGATTTCTGACGTGATATTTGAAGTACTAACAGAAATTTTCTTTGATGCGATTCCCGTGAAAACGACTGTGAAAATGACTCTCCTGAATTGACGGCGCAACACACTTTTGTTAAATTATGTGTAATGCACGCGATATCGCCAACATAGATCCAAAATATGCATAAGAAAACATGTACTAAACTAGGGTATTCGTGACATTCGTCCACAAATAGAAAATTGAAATTCTAGACCGTTAGACCTCTGTAAAAAGGCTAGACGGGAGGACGGGAAGAAGATTATCAACGAAAACTTTATCCGGACTGTAGAGAACGTGATTGAGAGTCACCAATATCACACTATATCTCATAAATACCTGCAGTTTTGTGTTTCTAAAGCAAAAAAGAATATTATTTACTTGTTTAATAGATTTTAAGCTTGACAAGAAATGGTGTTTGGATGTTGAGTAGATAAGGCAACTCAAACTGTACAGGTATCTTTGGGAAAATGTTGAGAAAATGAAAGCTCATCACATATTTTTTTTTTATAATGCCCGTGACGTCGAAGATTTTGCTGCTCCGTGACTTAATGATATGTCCTGAAAAATCACTTAAAATTGATACTAATTTACAACATTTTGATATGAAATTTTGAAGACCATATAAGTAAAGATTCTTTTTTATTATGTGTGTCATTTTGCTCGATTATGTCGTCAAATATTTTTTCTGTGCAACAAGTCCGCGTAATTTTTGAACGGCCCTCGTACATAAAAGAAAAAAAAATGCAAGTTAAAGAAATTCAAGGAGAATAGAAGTGCGCCGGTTCATGATCAAATCAAGGATTTGATCATGTGCCTTGATTTGATCACGTGATTGACCTACTTTTGTTTATACAAATCACCCAAATAAAAACAAATAAGGGAACCGCAAAGCGAAGCATCCTTGCAAGAAGCATGCACCCGACATTAATTCCAAAGAAAATCACATCACTTCCGTCACAAATTAACGATCACACACACCAAATCTGATACTTTTCCCCTCTTAACTCAATTGCGAGGGGATAAAAGTCCATCTCCGGACTTCATGTAATTTGATTTCTTCCAATGAATGTGTACTTGTACCTCTAAAGCCTATTACATGTACATTGAAAATCATACATTTTTTTGGATTTTTTTTAAAATAATGATGTTCTTTCAGAAAATTTAAGCAGAATAACTGGAATCATTGCCTCCCAAAGCTCAGAATTTATTGATGCATCGTTGGCTGTGGATAACAACTACAGACAGAATTATCCAGAATGTGCGCATACCGGAAAAAAAGCGAATTTTGCCTGGTTTCAATTGGATCTCAAAAACCGTTACAGTCTCAAATCTGTCAAAATATTCTTTAGAAATGAAGGTGAACCATAATTACACATTTGATTATGCTTGAGAATCAAATTGATATTTGAGAATATTTAAAGATTTTACATGATTTCTTTTTATTTTAATATTTTAAAGGTTTCAAAAAATACCTCTATTTTTGTATTTTTTCCCTTTCTGTCACCCCTTCCTTTTTCTTTTTCCTTTCCTCTCTCCCACTCACATATAAAAAGTCATACCATGAATGGAAATATAGGATAATGTTTTTCATTCGAAGTCAAAGAAAAAAAATCCTATTTATCATTTGATTATAACTCTACAAAGAATACAATGTGTGTTTCAGCTACCTGGCCTCCATACCGGATCCGACAGTTTTACTTAGATGTATCAAATTCATCAGCAGACACCTCAACACAGAGAGTGCGATGTTACACAGACAATACTACAGCCCCAGCCACGCCCGCTCCTGTGCTTGACATCCCATGTAAACAGACGGCAAGATACGTCATCGTCGAGACAACATACCATGCACCAGAAGATACAGATTCTACAGGACCTGTCTTGGAAATATGTGAAATTGAAGTGATTGGTAATCATTAAGTTTCTTGAAGGGTATTCGGAATAGATTTGTGTGCCTGT